TTTTTTTTTTCCCCCCCCCCCGGAGAACCGGGAGCTGCTCGTAGAAGTAACATTTAGAAATTCAAAATCCCACTATTTCCCCTTCCCCTCTTGTAGAATGTCCTCCCCCTTCGGTCTGTTTGCCGTCGTCTCCTCTCTCTCGCTTCTTTCAGAAAAGCCCTTCACCCCCCCTTCCCCCCCGCCTTGACTTCTGTTTGCTTTTCGTCGGGTTCAAAGGGATGGAGGCGGCGGACGGCCCCAGTGGCATTTAAAACGCCGGGCGAGGTTGCATTTATTTTAATGGAAGGTGACTTATATTTCGCGCTGTGAAATGTCCTGAAGCGTGGGGAGCTGTCATCTTCCCGTGCACTTAGTTCCCTTCGGAACTGCGTTTTCAGCGCGGGCAAGGTCATTGTGCAGGGATCGCTTAGGGTTTCTGCTTTATTTTATTTTATTATTTTAAATTTATTTATTACTTTGGGAAAGTTACACGAAATAATTTCCTGTATCGATCTCGTGTCTGTTAATGCGTCTGCGTCGTGTAGACACGTGGGTACCTTTCTAATGTCCGAGAAGCCCAGCTCTTTTAGATACAGGGGGTCGCATAGGGCTGACGAATTCTGCATTGCATTTCCAGGCGTTGGTGCTGCTCTGAGTGTATTCTAACCAAACACACAATTTTTAATAGCCACTTTAAACATTTTTTATTTTTTTTAAAATATATCTATTGATTTCAGAGAGAGGAAAGGAGAGGGAGAGAGAGAGAGAGAAACATCAATGATGAGAGAGTCATTGATCGAGCCCGCAACCGGGGCCTGTGCCCTGACAGGGAATCGAACCCCAGTCACCTGGATCCTAGGTCGATGCTCAACCGCTGAGCCACGCCCGGCTAAACATTTTTTTAAAAAATGCTGTTTTAACACATTGGACCCCGTCATTGTAGGCTGCGCTTCGCACAAATCAGTGAACTCTTAAAAGAAATGGATTTGATTCTCAAGCTGAAAAGCGCTAGGCAGTGTGGTCGATGTGTTGAGAAGCAGATCACACACTGTGTTTTAGATTTTCAGTTCTGGACTGCCTTAGACCTTGGTTCAGATACCAGCTGCCGCATATTTAGCCAAGGGCTTTGGGCTGGAACCCCTCCAAGCCTCAGTTTCCTCTCCCATAAAATGGAGATAAAGGAGTCTGCCTCTTAAGGGTACTCCAAAGAGTAAAAATTTTAAAGACCGAAAGCGTTTGGTACAGTGTCTTCCACATAGTAATCACTCAAATGCTATTAACAGTAGCTTTTATACAAGGCACTGTTCTAATTTTCTCTTGTCTCCTGAGGGAGGAAAAGATTAATTGCAGAGTCCCTAGCTGGAAGCTGAGCATCTTCAAAAGCAGCTGGACTGTGCCAGTGAATGGTTTCTGATTTGTTATTTCTCCAAGATCAGAAGACTCTAGTACTTTCTGTTTCCAGACTCCTGGGGGGAAAGCTTACCCTTTGCGAGACTTAATATCCTGATTGCTTTATGATTCAAGTTTTAAATACTACAGGAGAAATATAAGGAGGAATATTTTCATCTTATTTTTAGGCGCTTTGCTGGCAGTAGAACATGTGAAAGACAATGTCAGCATTTTTGTTGAAGAAGGGAAAGAGAATATTCTTCGTGTGTCTGAGTAAGTGCTTTTTTATATCTTTGTTTTCAGTACCGAGCAGCATTTTAAAAATTTCCAGGATTAAATGTTGTATGCGTGTTTTATTTGCTAATGGGTAGATAGTCCCTAGAAAGAAATATGCTTTTCTTCATTCTCAAAGAACTATATTCAGAGACTTATATTTGTAATTTGTTTAAAAGATATTAGAAATGTACAGAAAGGTGTATGTGTAGGGACTTGAAATACCACTGTAATTTATTCTGGTGGGAAACTGGAAATATTTAAAGTCAATAGTAATAGGAAATAAATTTGGTAAGAATTATTTTATTATCTATTCTTATCTCTTTTTCTTTATGGTTTTGGGTCTTTTAAAATAAGTTTTCAAAAACAGTTTTGATGGGGTTTGATCTGTCTTTACCTGGAAGTTGATAAAACCAGCTTCTCTGTGACAGTATATCCTTGGTTTTGTTGCTTTGATTTATTGTAAACCAGTTATTCTTAATATCCCAATTATATTTTCATATTTTCACCACTGAATAGAAGGATGATACATCATATAGATAATCTGCTCCGAAGTCAGTTGTTGAATTGAACTTTAGCTGAACTTTTCAGAACAAATTGGAATTTGATAGAGTAAAGAACAAATTACTTTTTTTTACTGGGCTATAGTAGAAAATACGTGGTAAATAGAAGCTTTCTATTTTTACATTTCTTCATAAGTCTCATGACTTACTGATTTGCTAGGGCCACAGTAATATTTTGTGTCATGCTTATATTGTAGAAATGTGGTATTCACAGACGTGAATTCCATACTTCGTTACTTGGCTAGAGTTGCAACTACAGCTGGGCTCTACGGCTCTAACCTGATGGAACATGCTGAGGTATGGAGCAAACACTTTCTTGGGAGTAATTTGTTTTGGTTTATGCTTCCACTCTTTGGAGAACTTCATTTTATCGTTGGCTTATGTACTATTATTAACACTCCAGGTTAAGGGATTCTCATCCTGTTTTTATTTTCAGAAAAAAACTTTTAGCTTCTAACTTTGAACTTTTAACCCCATACCAGCTGTCCTGTTGGGTTATTGAGTGCTGTCTTCCTCTTCCCAGATTCCTGGAAACTCATAGCTGGATGTGACTGTATTGATTCTCTTACACAATTCCCTTACTTTACAGATGAGGCAACAGACCTAGAGTAGTTAAAATTCAGACTACAAAGAGTAGTTTCCAAGTGTTTACTTTTAAGTTCTGCAAGTGGATGAATCTGTTTTATCTAGGTACCTGCCAGCTATTGGGTTCAATCACTTGGTTATTTTTTCTTGCTGCCAGTTCGCCTCTCTTTTTCTTTTTCTTCCCTGAAAGTGCCCCTGAATGCCCCTGCAAAAAAGAAAGCATAGAAAAATAACAAAATGTGTCTATGTAAGTGCTAATTTAGATCCCAGGCAATTACAATTAGATCCACATAGTGGTAAATTCTATCACTGTTATAAGAAAGGCTTGGTTCTAACTGAGGTTGTTTGTTTTTATTTAAATCTAAATTCTGGGATGCGTTTCTTTTTTGTGTTCACAGATTGATCACTGGTTGGAGTTTAGTGCTACAAAATTGTCATCATGCAATTTGTTTACTTCTGCAGTCAATGAGCTCAATCATTGCCTGTCTCTGAGAACATACTTGGTTGGAAACTCCTTGAGCTTAGCAGATTTGTGTGTCTGGGCCACCCTGAAAGGTATCAGTAATTCTTCTTGAAGATTGATCTATTTTAATTATTTAATGTTTTTCTGGATAAGAAGTATACATGTTTCTATGTATATGAATGAACACTCTACTTATATATCTGTTTATTGGCAGTCACTTAGGACTTGCTTACAGAGAAACAACTGACCCAGCTATTGTATTCCTGTCCAGTCACAGGAGTTCTGTATCCTCTGCTGCCCCTGGAGGTCATCTCTCTCTTTCACTACCTCAGATCCCCTCTTGCCTTTGGAGTTGGCCTTGTTCCTGCTAAAGAAGCCCTCATCCCATTTATGTTAGGCCTCTCCTCTCTCAGCCATTACTCTACTCCAGACACTGTGGTCTGATTGCTCAGTGTAGGAGTGTGCTTGAGGGGGGCGAGCTGGAGTTGTCCTTCTGCGGGGGAGGGGGTGTCACTTTTTCTATCTTCTGTGACTCATTTGCAACAGGTACGGATTCAGAATTGAGGAGAGGTACAAAGGGGACCTGTATTTTGTTAATTTACTTTCTGTAAAAGCAAGCCTCAAAGAACTGTGCCATAATGCTTTATTATTCTTTAAATCTGGGTTATGTGGGGTTTAAAAAATATTTTCTATACTCTTTTGTGGCTTAAGCTTTTCTCTAAATTAAATTAAATTGTCTTAATGATAACCAACATAAACTGAAGAACTTTTCTAGTTAGATCTTTTCATCTGTAGGTTTATCATGACATTTTAATCTAAATTGATTTTTGACTTAATGTTCATGAAAGGAAGATAATATCTTGAGGATATAGCTTTGTGATCTTAAAATTAAATAAATATCCTTCAGAACCTAGTTTTGATACTACAGCAGAAGAAGTGAGCTGCTTCTTGATCTTAATTTTTATTTTGTTCTCTAGTTGACCTCCTTAAAGCTTTTCCTTAATTATGAAATGTATCAGTGGCCTTACAGTGTGCATATGGCAGTGGTGAGGGCAGGATTCAGTATTCATTTCAGTGAACTGAACTGAAAAAATATTTTTAATTAACTTCTGTAAAGTATATTAAAGTTTTGGAAAACATTTCAGTGTGTGCCCAGATATCATTCATTATAGAAGCATAACTCTACGCCATCTCCTTTACTGAAATCAGCCATAACTGAAACTTTGCTTTGCAGTTGCAGATTTACTGAATGGTTTTAAAATTATGTTTTCTGATAGGAAATGCGGCGTGGCAGGAGCAGTTCCAGCAGAACAAGGCCCCAGTTCATGTGAAGCGCTGGTTTGGCTTCCTCGAAGCCCAGCAGGCCTTCCAGTCTGTAGGCACCAAGTGGAGTGTTCCAACAGCCAAAGCTAAAGTGGTAAGCCGTTTACCTTTTTAATGCTGCCATCTTAGTCTCTCTGAGACCCCAGATTTGAAAAGAAAATTCTTCCTAGTCATAGTTTATTTTCTTTTAAGAATAAAATAGGATATTCTTGGATGAATCTGCTACTGTAAGTCTTGGCTTGCCTTTGCAGCTGGTTAAGTACATAAAGCCATAATCTACATAATTATAGGTCTAAAAGATGATGAGCGTCTAGTGTGTGTCCCTTGGGAAATTCAAACTCCAAGTAACTAAAATCTTGTTATTTTTAGGTACACCATCTTTTCTGCCTCCTAAAGCTTCTATTCTTTGGTTTTTGAACCATTGACCATTGAGTGCTGGGCTTTTCTTCTGCAGAGCCTTTTTGTCAAACATTTAACTATATAATTATTTTGTTGTTTATTTTCAGGCACCTCAGAAAAAGCCAGATGTTGGGAAATTTATTGAGCTTCCAGGTGCTGAGATGGGAAAGGTTACTGTCAGATTTCCTCCAGAGGCTAGTGGGTAAGAAAATAAAACTTAAAATTATAATTGAATGTATTTAGTGGAAAATCTTTAGGTAGTTACAAAATTTTTTAGTAATTATAGGTTCATATAGAAGAAAATAAGATTTTAATTATGGGAGTTAAAAATTTTAAGTATCTTAATCTTTAATTATTGATAATGTATTAAATATATAGTTTTAATTTATTAACTCAACAGGAGAGATAGCATTCATATTTTATCCCAGGCAGAATTTTAATTATAATTGAAAAATATCCATAAATAGGAAGGATTAAGTTTTAGTTACATTTTGAGATTTTTAGGCTTTCATTTAATAAGGATTTATATTTGTGTCATTAGCAGTAGAAGTTATGGTAGAATTCTTTTCAGTTATTTTTTTTTCCCAAATAAAGGAAGGGGAGTCCTGAAAATTATTAGCAGGTTTCCCCAGCCTTTTCACTCTTGGCACCCACAGAAAATATTAAGTTTAGTAGCTCATTAGGGAAAGGACTGTTGTGACTGAAGATCAGCATCCTGGGGCTGCTTCAAGCCTTGCCCAGCATCCCCAAGACTGACGGGAATCTCTGCCTTTGCATAGCCTCTTTCAAGCACATGAGACAAGCTTTGTAATGGAGCCTTTCCGATGATACTAATATAATATAGTGCCTCTGATTGATTTAAAATGCCTCCTGTTAGCCACGGGAGCTTAGCCATTAGGAAAGTATTGTACCACATTCTGTAAATGAGATGATTTTTTCCTCCCCCAGATTTTATTTAGTTTCAGGTTTTTCACTGTGTAGTCCAATTCTTCCCTATCTTTGGTGGATGGAATATATAGACAGTAGAAAATGGCAGACGAACAGTTTTGTTGTAGCTGTTCTTAATAGTTCTTAGGCACCATTACCAGCAAAGCCAGGTTTACAGTTCCCCATTTCCTCTGCTTTTCTAAGGTTGATTCAGATGGTGAAATGAAGGATGGGTAGAGGAAATGAAAGAGAAATGATGATTCTGGGAAATGCGCAGACTGAATCATTAAATGATTGGAGTCGACTGAATGGAATCAGTCATCAGTAATACCTGTCTTACATGGTATAAGTCCCACAGACGTCTTGGGTCCCTGCCACCCAATGTTCTGCTCTTGTGTACTTGCGATAAGAGGTCATGGCTGTCTTGTTGGGCAGTGACTTCAGTGGTGTAATAAAAGCCACTCTCCTAGCAGTAGTTGTTCATAGCGATGCCATTTGAACATAAGTCCTTTTTGATTCTTTTTATATTTTCTCTCACTTCTTGAAATAGTGAGTTCCTCATGTGTTCTAAATTATGTCTATTTGAGACCATGCTCTTGGCCAAATACAGTTTTGGGATTTGGAATATAAATCAATGTTCAGGTTTTCCATATTTTTTTTATCATAATTCCTTATATTACTAAAGAATTCTTTAATTATTTTTTAATCATCTTTTTCTGTCTTGCATGAAAGGCCAGAATGCTTTTATTCTTCTTAGCTAACATGTGTGCATACCTCTTTTGAGCAAGTACCACCATGCACTTTACATGCAGTCACTTATTTAATCCTGATAGCCCTGTGAGGAAGACACTGTTATCGCCACTTTACAAATGGTTTCCGAAGCTGATTCATATGATGTTTTAGCAAGTTGCCAACTCAAACTCACACTGTCTGGCTCTAGAGTCCACATGACTTATGCCTGTGTCTGTTACGTGTGGCAGAAGCCCAGTTCAGCATCAGCACTAATTAATGCAGCATGGATCTTATTTTCTTTAGCTATTCTAATATAGGTTGTCTCTTGAGCTGATTATTTTAGTTATTGAATGAATGTTTTATGGTCCCGTTAGCTTTCTTGAGGGTTTGAATTCTTAGAAATGCACACATTTTTTCAGATTCAGAAATTATATCTTTAATTGTAAGATAATGGTTTGATTTTTATCACCTCTCCTGTTAATTCCCGTATGTAAAGTCTAGCACATTACCTGTGAGGTAGCAGGTAGTCAGTGATTATTAGTCTTTTTTTTTCATTAACAATGGGGGTAGCATGCTATGGGTATAATACTTGCAGTGAAGACCACACAAAGTATTTCTGTTTCTTTCTTGAAATGCAGTTCTCTATTTTATTCTTAATAAACTTTTTATTTTAAAATAGTTCTAAATTTACAAGAATGTTGCAAAAATAGTGCAAAAAGTTTCCATATGCCCTGCACTCAGTTTTTTCCTGAAGCTAACATCTTGTCACAACTAATGAACCACAGTTGATATATTATTATCATCAAAACTCCATATCGTTTTTGGATTTTTTCAGTTTTCTCCTAATGTCCTTTTTCTGTTCTAGAATCTCATCTGGGATACCACTTACGACCCTTTATTTTATGCAGAAAGTTTTGAATAACCCTAAGTGCATTGCATCGTACTTGTCTGCATTAACCTGTGCATATACACATTACTTAAAATGGAATGATTGACCTAGAATGCTATATGAGTTTCTAAAAAAAAGAAGTGATTTTTAAAATGATATAGGGACATACAAGGTGTTGTATTTTTTCCCCTTCCCTGTCGATATCAACCCAGATGAGAGGCATGTGTGACACTAGGTGACTGTAGAACATTGTGACTGCAGCTACCATTATCAATTGAAACTAATAAAAGTTAGTGAGAGCCAATTAAACTTCCATGCTTCATGCCTTGTTTGCTGCTGGATAAATTGTATTTTCAACAGCAGTAATGTAGGATGTTTCTTTTCACCCACGTCGTTGATAGAGGACGCTGATGTGTGTAGTATTATCAACCTTGTCTCTAATTGATTTTATTCCTTATAATTGTCAGCTACCCATAGGAACAGAGTAGTATTTACATAGACTGTTTCATGGAGTGAGACCTTGGTACTGGATGAGACCTTCAGAATTATTTAAAAATTCTTTTATTTAGGCTTCAGAGAAAACGGAAGTAGCTCTTCTGTGGCTTCCTGATCTCATGTGCTCTTCCAGTTGGTTACTGCAGCGATGGGCAGTCTCAGACAGGTGCTTCTCCCAGTGTGCATTATGGGTGCCCGTTCTCAGTAGCATCAGTCTTACGAGAGATACACCACCAGGTAGCATTGAAACAGTGTTGGAAGTAGCTTTCCTCTAATTAAATGACCAGGAATTCCCCCGTTTGAAAAAAGGTGGTAATGTTTATAAATAACTTGTCTCTTTTTGAGATTTTACATATGAAATTATTTCTTAAGATTATTTTATAAATGTGGTAGTCTTGTTTTCTTCCTGTCAGGGTCATATTTTCTATCCCAGGACTTTCTGTTTCAAAATAAAATACGACTGGGGTACCAGCTAGAAGGAGTTTTGTTTAGCTTTCATCTCCTCAGAAAGATTAAGTGTAAGTCTTCAGTTAAGACATGTTAATGAGTTTCTTTGAAATGTTTTTGTTTTAGTTACTTACACATTGGGCATGCCAAAGCTGCTCTTCTCAACCAGCACTACCAGGTTAACTTTAAAGGGAAACTGATCATGAGATTCGATGACACAAATCCTGAGAAAGAAAAGGAAGATTTTGAGAAGGTAATTAAAGGTGTAGTGATAACCCTTTGTCAGAAGTTATTTCAAATCAGACGGTGACCTGATACCTTCATGGTATGTGAATTAAATAGAAACTTGATTCATGACAGTAAATTTTGTTCTCATAGACGCTTTTTTTCCTTCATCTGTATATTGTATCTGAGACCTAAGCCAGGAAATACTGATCTCCCATACCCAAAACTTCAATTTGTTTTTTTCTTCCTCAATTGTTGTAGAATTCACCTAAGTGCTCTGTTTTCCTATAAGTACCAATTTCTTAAATTACTGGGTAACTAGGGGCAGGTTTCCTTTTTGTCATATAATTTTAAGTTCATGACTGAAACAGACACCAACTAGGTATTGGGAAGTGTGAAGGTTTCCTAGTCTCTTACGTCATCTTTATTCTGCGTTGAAGCACTGCAGTGTATTCAAAAAGGGCAAATGTCAGAACGGCCAGTAATAACCAGCTTTTCCAGAGTAAATGGAAAGCTCCACCATGAGATCACTTTCTCAGCTGAAAATTTGGAAGCTAGTATAATGAATCTCTCTTTTTTTTTTTCTGATTTAATATCGTACAACTTCCACAACCATTTTCAGGCTAAATAAGACTGATGGTGTATTATTACATTTGCCCAAATGCAGTATCAAGGATTGAAAATGCACAAGGAAATGGGAAAGATAAACCGATGGTGATTTTTGGTTCTTACTGCAGGTTATCCTGGAAGATGTCGCAATGTTGCATATCAAACCAGACCAGTTTACTTACACCTCGGATCATTTTGAAACTATAATGAAATGTGCAGAGAAGCTAATTCAGGAAGGGAAGGCTTATGTGGACGATACTCCTCCCGAGCAGATGAAAGCTGAACGTGAGCAGAGGACAGAATCCAAGCATAGAAACAATTGTAAGGCCCCCTTAGTGTTTTACATTTTAATTGATGTTCTTGTGCTCTGTGCTTTGTAAAACATGATTTCTTTCCTGTGAAATACACTGGTTTGAAACATTTGGGAATATGGGCCATGCGTTAGTTCCTCTCTCAGAAATCTTCTTTCTCCGTCATCTTTACCTCGTTGCCTTGTTAGCATCACAACCGCACGTGAGGTGTACACTCCCCGCGCCTCTCACTATGTGCAGCCTGTGCGTTTCATTCATTCCGCTTGAGCGGCTCCTTCTTGGGTGTGCCTGCATCTTTCTCCATGTGTAAATGCTCAGCCTTTGTAAAGTGTGTGGTGATGACAATATTCATGCCTAATTTTCTCAGCATGTGGGTAAATGCTAACATAATGTACTATATCTCTGAAATAGTGCCCGACAGAAAAGCATATCTTTCTTGTTCATTACTTGTCCCTGAGCCTCAGAAATGGGCTATTTTCCTTCTATGGTTATGTTGCCAGAACTTCCACACTATTATTGTTAAATGTGGAGTGTCTCATTAGGGAAGTAGAGTAAATTCAAATAGTTACAGAAGTCTTTTTTTTCTTTTTTTTTAAGTTTTTCTCCATTTCTCAGTTACCAACTGGACTTTTAGACCTAACTTGATCCTTTGAGAGCAGGTCACGTGTCTGTCGTATCTCAGTAGTTTCTGCAGAGCATCAGCGTTTAGCAGCTCTTTATCGACATGGGGCAGGTTTTCGATATTCTGACATAGGTAGGACCATAGTCACTTGGGATGTAGCTTTCTTTTTCTGGGTTTAAACTTGTATCGCTGTCTGTTTTCTATCCGCTCTCATTTTCTTGGATCCCAGAGTGTCCTGCTTCCCACTGGAATGACAGAAGGGGCTTTGGGGGAGCCCCTAGCTCAGGCTCCCAGCCTGAGCCATGTTCTCCAGATGGGCATGGGCTGCAGCACTGAAGTCTGTGGGCCCCATGGGCGGGGCCAGACTAGTCTCTCCCTGGACTCGAGGTGGCAAAGGAGTGCTGCTCCTTCAGAGGCACAGTGTTAAATTTAAGGGGCGCCAGCCCATTGGGCTGTGATGGAAAATGGGAAACAGTGGATGAGAGAAACCTTCAGGCCTCATACTTCTCTTAGCCTTCATCAGTACCTCACATAGAATGTGTTGACTTGACTTTTAAAACATTTTTATAGAGGGTATTTCCTAAGCGTCCTGTGAGTCTTCTGCATAAAAAACAGTGCATTTACCCTTGGTGCCAGATATTGGAACTATTACAGTCCTTTTAAGCCCAGTGGAGTGTGCTGATAATATAAAGCCAGAACATGAACACTGTGTCAAATCACAGGACTCTTATTTAAGAAAATTTGAATTTAACCCAATTAGTAATACTAATATAAACTAGATAAACCAATATAAATTAGATAAACTAATATAACTCTCATTTTATAGCTGTTGAGAAGAATCTGCAAATGTGGGAAGAAATGAAAAAAGGGAGCCCATTTGGTCAGTCCTGTTGTTTGCGAGCAAAAATTGACATGAGCAGTAACAATGGGTGCATGAGGGATCCCACACTGTACCGCTGCAAAATTCACCCTCACCCAAGAACTGGAAGTCGATACAAGTAAGGTTTTCTCTCTCATTATGCTTGGTAGCCTGCTGTGCTCTGCTCTGGTGCTTCCTGTAAACTCGGAGTAGACGCAGGATAGTCAAGATTTCTGATTTTTGTTCATCATAGATGAACCGGAACAATGAATTTGCATCCACATTTTCATATCAGATAATTGTGAAGCCTAATGCAGTAGCATCTTCATGAAGTTCTATCTTAAAAGTTAGAAGTCGTAATGCAGTAATACATTTTTTAAAATTCAAATGAAAATTGCTTATGTGTTGTGTACATTTGTTTAGTCAGAAATTTTTTTAGGAGTATTCCATCTTAAATGGAATTTTAATTGACTAATAATTTTTTCTCTTGTCTGTTCTTGAATGCAGTTAATTACAAAAGTGATTCCATTTACTTGAGTGTGAGATTAAGATATTGGAAAGCTAAATTCCCTCAAAATTATTATGTATTTTGCTTCGTACCATGATTACATTGGTCATTACAGAGAATGGTTGTGGAGCTGGCTGCACCAGTACCCAGTTGTCTATTAAGTTGCAAATTTGCTTTTTGTTTGAATATTGAGTGGGCAGCTGATTTATTGTTCTCAAAGTCCTATGATGTTTTGATAATACTTTGATTATTATGAGTCCTAAAACATGTTGGTTTTTAAGAAATCCCTAATTTGTAAAGAATTATATTTTAAATTAGTGTTGTTGTTTATAATGCCTAATCTAAGATGAGAAAGCTGAAATACTTCATGTTGATTTTTTAAAATATTCCCTTTTTCCCAGTGTTTATCCGACATACGATTTTGCCTGCCCCATAGTGGATAGCATGGAAGGGGTTACACATGCGCTGAGAACAACGGAATACCATGACCGAGATGAGCAGTTTTATTGGTTTATTGAAGCTTTAGGCATCAGAAAACCGTACATTTGGGAATATAGTCGATTAAATCTCAACAACACAGTGCTGTCCAAGAGAAAGCTCACGTGGTTTGTAAACGAAGGACTAGTGGACGGATGGTATGTTTACTGTTGCCTAGAATTGAGAGGAAGTAGGGGCATGGTGTCTCTGGGACTTCTAAACTGCTGTGAGGGGTGGGGAGGATGGATGGGAGGAGGTGCAGTGCTAGGCCTGTAGGATTTCTATCCTTGTCTTTATTTGCTCCAGTGCATCAGGTCCCCCTTCCCCTTTGTTTCAATGCTGCAGACATAGAGTATGTTGTGGGCCATGGCCGTGGGAATGAAAAACACATGAGGGCAGATCTCAGCATTTAATAGAAAAGTACTTGTGAGTCTCTCGTCTTCATAGATCTGGTCTCATGGTCATAGGTAGAACAGAGACCTTGAGTGTTAAAGTAAAAAGCACCTACTGTTTTAATGCTTGGATTTCCTGTATTTGAAGATGTCACCCTGTGTCTTTCCTCAAATGTACTTCTCCTGTTTCCGGAGGTGCATTTATTTTGCTGAGCAATAGTTGACTAGTGAGCAGTTTTTCTCTTTAATGAACTTGGGCTCTCTGGTGTTGTGATCTAGCCAATTATTACAACCAGCTCTTAGTCTAAATATTTAACAAGCTGAATATAATATTATTCGTTAAGATATTTTGTACTCTGCACACATTAAAAAAATTTCCTTGGTTTTATTTATTTATTTATTTATTTATTTATTTATTTTAAATATACCTTTATTGATTTCAGAGAGAGGAAAGGAGAGGGAGAGAGAGATATAAACATCAATGATGAGAGAGTCATTGATCGGGTGCCTCCTGCATGCCCCCACCTGGGCATCGAGCCCGCAACCCGGGCATGTGCCCTGACTGGGAATCGAACCCCGATCGCCTGGATCCTGGGTCGATGCTCCACTGCTGAGCCACGCTTGGCCAGGCTCCTTGGTATTTAAAAATGTTCCTGTTTCCCAGGGATGACCCAAGATTCCCTACAGTTCGTGGTGTGCTGAGAAGAGGGATGACAGTTGAAGGACTGAAGCAGTTTATTGCTGCTCAGGTGAATGATGGTTTCTTTTCCAGATTCTCTGCTTGAATTTTCAATTGTCTCTTAATATCCCCTTGGTCTTTATTATTTCTGTTCCTTCTATTTTTTGTATGTTCCTTATAATGCAAGGACAGAATGTTGTTTTTTTTAAAAGAGTATGTTTGGCACTGTTTATAATAATGGAAAACTGAGAGTGTCCTAACCTCCTGAGCTAGGGTTGGACAAAAGCAGCGGTAGTGTTTTTACCCAGTGCAATATGATTGTCAGCTGTAACTCTTGAATGTACCAAATTAGCTTGTACATAATGTTTATATTCCAACAGAAATGAACTTGTACATAATTATTGGGCTTATTTTTTCTAACATATACAACTTTAGTTAAGAAAATATTCTAATTAATACTTCTTGTCCTTTAAGCCATTTTATTACTGTTTTTCTAGGGCTCCTCGCGTTCAGTTGTGAACATGGAATGGGACAAAATTTGGGCATTTAACAAAAAGGTATGTGTTTTGGCTATTAACCTTCTTTCCTCACGTCTAACTCTTACACGTAGAATTCATTAGTGTGCTCATGGTGGAGGCAGCTTCGTGAAGAGTATTATCATTTTTATAGACTTTCAGGAAAATAGAATGTTTTCCTTTTTTAAACATGTAAAGAGCTAAGCCTGTTAACTATACTGTCGAGTAACAGTGGTTCAGACAAGCAAACTTGGAGTAATGGGAAACAGTAACAGTTTGTCCTTAAATCTTTTATGAACACTGCATTTCATTTTCTGCTTTCAAGCTGCGAGCTCTCTGTAAGAAGGTATCACTTAATGCTTTTATTTGCCTTACTTAGCACGTGGCTTCTAGCATATTACATGATATAACCTGAGCTGTTACACAGCTTTGAAGCACAATCACATTCTTTAAGACTTGCTCATACAAACCCACTGAAAATGCACTATTCCGAGTTTTAAAAAACATCCTCTGATTTTCTGAGTGGCAAAGGGAAGATTTGGCTAATTCTATTCTGGATACTGTTCCCTTGTGTACTGAGAGAACAGAGTTTTAAAATGACAAATTCCATTGAGTCGTATTAACTATGATCCTGTGTCTTACTGAATCTAGCTTTTTAAAAAGTGGTTCTTAAATGAACGTCAAATGAGGAATATTGCATATTGACACTGTTACTATTGCTAATTGGAAGCGGATGCTTGGACACTATAATAAGGCAAATCATTGAAGTGCTGTGTTTTACAGTGGTTTCTGTGATTGTGTTCTGTCAACTCTTCATGCTGCTGCTTGGTTTGCTGATGCCTTGCCTCAAGAAGTAGTTGCTTGTCTCGCATGTGTCTTGAATTTATTTTATTTAGTCTTTTGTGTTCAGTCAGTTTTTTTAATACATAAAGGAATGACTAATTGGTTCTTTCCGTTGCTGCAGTTACTAATAATAAATGCAAGTAGAATTTACAAAAAAATTAACATTGGTGTACTTTTTATTAATCAAATTTTAAAGGTTTTAAGTTTTATTAAAGATGTATACTTAGTTCAGATATATGAAATACATTTCACTATAGTCACGTAGTTCTGCACATTCCTCTATCATCCTTCCTTCCATTTTCTCTTTCTGGATAAATCACTTTCAGCTCTTTCAGATCATTCTTTTGGTATTTTTTGCCTATATCTCTAAATGACACATGTCGCTACTTCTTGATTTTTTAGTGCTAGGCATCATCAGTTGACTTCGCATATCAAAGATGAGGTTTCTTTTTCTCATAACTTGTTGCTTTTCTTGTAGTTGATTGTTTTGCCCATTCCCCTTATTTGTTTAGTTTCCTAATTCTGTCTCAAACTCTGCACAAATTGTCTAATTTCCCTACAAAAATGTTCACATGCCTCAGGTATTCTTTCTGTTTCACTTGGAGACTTCTCTGCCGCAGCCTTCGTGCTGCTGGGACTTGATCTAGACTAGTGGCCAGGTAGCTTGTGAGCACAGCTGTCTTCCAGGTCAGCCTTCCTCATCTTCCTGCCATACCTTTGCGCTCATTCTGTGATGGGTCATCTGGTTTGTGGCTCTGCCTTTCCTTTTTGTTAGCCCTTGCTTTGCTGTGCCATATCCTCCGGTAGCTCCCTGAGAAGGGGCCTGGGATGAAGAATATTTTTCAGATCTTGTCTGTGCCTGTTTGCTCACTTGGAGATTTCATGATGCTGTGCCGTGGTGGGGTCTGTATCCACCCATATCCATTGGATAACATGGGGCTTCCTGTCTGTGAACGCATCCCTTCAGTTCTGGGAAATGTTCTCTACTAAGTTTTCTTCCTTCTCTCTGGAACTGTTCTTGAGCAAATGTTGGGCCCATGGACTGGTTCTCTAATTTACTTTCTCTCTTATTTTCTGTATCTACATCTGACTCTGTTTCCTGGTGGAGTTGCTCAGTTACCCTCCTGTTGAGTTGCGCATTTATGCTCATAGTTCCAGGATTTCTTTTTTGTTCTCTGAATTTTCAAAATAACTTCCTCTTCCTGTTTCATGGTTATAATATTTATTAACAGTATTTTTTTTTTTTTTTTTTTTTTACTGAAAGCAT